GATGAGTGCCATGACAGGAGAACATAAATGTGGTCAAGGAAGGGACCTTTGTTGTCCCTCTGACGAGTTGCAATATGAGCTCAAATGATGGCGAAATTCTCTGTCAATGCTGTCTATGATGCATGTTAAATGTCTAGGAGCACACTCATTTAACTATTTGATGCTGGAAGTAGTCCTTAAAAGTATGAACGAGGAGTCCATATGGGGTAATTTCTTCGAAACTGTCCTGACACCAAAAATAAATGATGAAAGCCTCTTAAGACCAATTTAGCACCTATTTATTGTGACTGGAAAAATTTAATTTTATGAAAAAATTAAAGTACATTGTTATTACCCCGTTCTAGTTGTTTGGCCATATTTACATTACATAGTTAAATTTTGTAGACTTTGGATATAGTGTACCACACCACGCCCTCTGCAATTGTTGCCACGACTCATCCCAGCGTCAATAGATTTACTGAGTTAATTCTCAGGATGTTGTAACTGGCACAAAGCTATAACCATCAAAAGGACAGGAGTCAGCCTCATCTGTCGTACAATCGGGCTACTCCTCTTTCGCCTAAATCATACCTCGTTTATTTTCCGTAAGCACTGTACCAGCATTTGCACTCCCGTCCCATATGGAGAGAAGTCATCCTTCACCCAGGTTCACAGCCATTTTTCTTCCGATTACTTCAAGCGCCCAGGACTGCATAGGGTCAACGGCAAAATGCCAAAAAACCGTGACGAAACCGTCAGCAAAACGCTGCATGAGGCTCACTTTCTATAGTCTTCCTATAAACATTGCCGAGTTTTACAAATAGGATCAAGCTAAACTAAGGGAATTGCGACTCTGCTAAGGCCTATACCATCCTAGTCTTCATATATATGATGTCCAAAAAAGGTTAGCTAGGGTCTTATCAGCATCGAAAGCTGATGGAAACGAGTAGAGCCATAAACTTACGTTTCAATTAGTTTAAAATCTCAAAACGCTTGCTCATCAATTTTGGTGGAACATCCTCTACATTGCAAAATGTTATGATTTAATGAACCGCAACTCAGCTCCGTTGATGTCAAGGGACTGCATCATCCTAGCGCTTGCCTTGTCTTTATCGTAATGGATCATGATCTACTGCTGTCCGATGACTTGGAGGGATGTATCTTCTTTGACCTGGTCCGCTTATTCCCGACAACGGAGGCGTCCAGCACTGAGCCATCACGAGGGGGCAGACGACCGCACACTGGAACCATAATGGACTCATCCTCCCCAACTTGGCAGAACCGACCAACGCTCGACTACGAGGCATCAGGAGCTAGTCTAAGTGGACAGTCCTTTACAATGCCATTGATACACCCCCAATTTAAGGGTTAGCCGTAAAAATTTTATTTTATCCTGAAATTTATTGTCATACTCATTATTGCTTAAATCTAGTTTCAGAAAATTATATTAATCACTATTTTTCTCTTAAATATTTTCTCAAATGTCGCAGTTGTGTTTTTTGAACACAGTAAAATTTTGCTATTTTCATCTTCTGCATGTAGTTGAATACATGCATCAAACGGAGTGCGATTTTTTATCAAGCATGGGTCTCTTGGTTAGAGAAAAAATTGGGAGAAACACCCTTAGTTTGGCAACAACTAAAATTGTCTCTTCTCAACCTCGACTAAGCTTGATAGTATAATAAACCAAATCTCAATAAATGCATATCATAAAGCCACTCACCCTAGTGCTATAGAAAACTGTAATTATGGATTGGATTCCGAAATATATTTATGGTGAAATCCCTTCTCATTATAGCAATATCAGGCACACTTCAGCCCTGTATCTAATCGATTCATCGAGTCTCGAAAACAGAGGTTTTGAAGGAATATCTCTGCCGGTGATTAATCAGATACGATCTCGCTAGTAATTTGAATGATGTGACTTGAGCCCTCTTGTAGACAATACAAAACCGCTAATTTTGGCGTTTGTTCTAATGAACTAAATAGTAGTAATGAGAGAAATCTGGGCATTAGATTGATTTTACTATGCTTCACCTGCGAGCCAGAGGATTATGCACTACTTGTAGGTTTTAGTGAAAGGAGTCAGCATGCGATTTGTAAAGGGGATTGGAGTGACTTCAACATCGAGTAGAAAAGATGGATATGTATACTAAGAAAATTCATATTTCTATGAATCTCTTGAGATAAGACTGTACGAAGACTTTCATTTCGTATGAAAGTGCATGAGAAGAGATTCGTAGGTCGATCTGATCAAAAGACGACGTTGTAGTGCAGTCGTTTGGCTTTGATACAAAATTCATACTGACATTCAGCCTATGGCCAAATAGCTGCAGTACAACTGGAACCGACTGTCGTCTTCTGGTGAAATTGACCTACAAATCTCTTCATCATACACTTTTATAAGAAATGAAAGCCTTTACAACAAGCAGGATATTTAACAGAATTAAGCAAGAAATGTTTGAACTATATACTTCTAGTGCATCTAAGAAGGCCGCTTCTACAAAGATACTGCCTTGCAAGAATGTATGTGGTCTACCAAAATTAATTAAATTGGTACGCTAAAATGGTCAAAATAAAGCCCTACAAATCTTCCCTTGTAGTCTTGATATTATGGTATTTTAATTTTTAAGCGAAACAGAAATCGTATCATAAAGTGAAGGTAGATAAATGACCTTCCGCCGTCCAGACTTGGGGCTTATATGCTATATCAGATTGAGCTGCTATAATGGGATTAATCAGTGCATTACTTGTTATATTTGCCTATTTTTTTGCAGAACATCACGCCCTCTCCGTGCTTTCTCAACGCCTCAATGATGCGTATGCCCAGGAAGTGTTCCGCCGGTGGCGAGCCCTTGAAAAGCCAGAGCCCAAATGAGGCAAACATTCATAGAGAAGACCTTTACTGATTATGAAAGGAAGAGGATGAAGCAGAATGAATATACTTTAAAATCCAAGTAAAGGAGAAATCGCCCAAAATTTTTGAAGCATATTCAAAAATGTTGATACTATGTTCGTTCAACAACTAACCTTTTTATGTTAAAATAATGTATTCAGATGACCCTTAACATGTGAAGAAGTCAGCAAAAGAGCCTATCTTCGGCTGGATAATATTTATTCCTCAATCCTTCTATACTGATTTTCTGGATGTATTCTGAATTGATTCCTTGTGTTTTCTCCCATTAATTTTGCCTCAACCCAGCCTCGCCAAACTGACCACCATTTCCCTTTCATTATTTCCTTCTCCATTCCATTTTTCTACAGCCATTTCACGTACTTATCGAGCCATTTGACAACCTTACCTCGGACATTTTGGAAATTCCTACAAATATACGCACATACAGCCTTGTTTATGCCTGCGTATTTATGTAAACATGTGCAGGATTTTATTATACTAACTAATGAATACGTTATCCGCGATAAAGTTAGCGACATAGGTTGTACCGGAGTTGTGCAATAAGATAAAGATTAATTCAATTAGTCTCTATTTCGTCCTCATTCTGAGGGAAAAAATAAAAAATAATTTATTAATTTATAGTCTGTTTGGTAATTAACCAACTTATTTGTAAGATAGTTGCGTTTGTGTTCTAAGCTTGGCGCTTTCTGACAATCCGATTTCAGACAAGCTCCAAGTTGGCATGCTTCATGGACCGACATATACACCAGAAATCTGCTTAGAGTGAATTTAAGCCACTGTATGGCGTCCTAAATAATATACCCTTATAGCTTTATGCGATAGTGCAGAACAGCGAGACTTCTTTAATGAAAAGCAACTCGTTTTGAACTCTAGGCGATGCCTGTACCTCAACTGATGTATACAATGTCCTATTATGGAATATTCGGGCAAACAAGATGTAGCAAGTGGGATGACCTCATTGTCGCAACTCGGTCTTGTGGTCAGGGAGACTATGTAGAACGCACCTAGTCCAAAGTCGTCTGCCATAGTAGTTGTCTTGTTTCCCAGCAT